GAAAGGGTGCAGTTAGCCTTACTTATTACCTCATCACATTGTAGACTCATGTTTATTTTGCATCAACTATGACTCTGAGATCCCTTTCCACTGCAGTGCTACTTAGAATAGTACTTCCCAGTTTATAGGTGTATTGGTGATTCTTTCTCCCCAGGTGCAGCACTTTGCACTTACCTTTGTTAAATTGCATCCTATTCTGATCCGCCCACTTCCTTAGTCTGTTCAAATCCACCTGAATTCACTCCCTACCCTCTAGTATGTTTACTATATCCCATAGTTGGATGGGTGATGGAGATGGGGGTGGGGAGGGCAGGGGGAAGCCAGGCAGGCCTTGATGTGTCTGCAATCTCTGCCGGAGCTCCAACCAGGGAGCACAGGGGAGGGGCCAGCCCTGCTGTGGAGCAGGGATCCCTGCCCAGCCCAGAGAGCATGCCAGGCTGCTGGGGGAGTCTGATTTATCTTAAACCAGCAAGGTGTCTGGGACAGACATTGCATAAACTGGTTTGAGCCAAATCAGTTAAGTCTAACTACATTCAACCAGCTTTTTATCTCAAAACGGTTTCAGCCATTGTCAAACTGGTTTATGTTCACTGATCATCTGTTCTGTTACAGGTTTAAACCAGTGTCTGATCACTTAAACTGGTTTATGTGTAATGTGTGTCCCTAGCCCCAGAGGGTTATCGTTTCAGATTAAAGGCATAATGTTCTACCTTACTTGATACTACTTTGGTGCTTCAGCTATTTTCTGCAGAACTAAAGGATTCGGTATTTAAAAACAAAGCCTTTTTTCCAAAATGGCTTTACACTACACTGTATTATACCATATTTGGTCCCATTGTGAAAGATAAGAACAGCATTTTTTTAGGGAATGTGGTTGAAACAGAATACGGTTGTTTTTTCATTAATGCAGTATCTCTGTCCCTTAGCCTGACTTCATTCCAGAACACTTTACAGAATAAATTAATATGGTCAGTAATAAGATGGGAAATCTAAGGAATAAAAGGTGTTCAAGACTGTTGGAAAAATGATGGAGAATAACTGAGAATGGGACAATATTCCAGATGGTAGACACTGCACAGAGCTCTAATCAAAATTGCAAAATGTAATCAGGGAAAGTAGAGGTATCCAGTAAAAGAGAGAACTAAGGGGAATGTACATTATATAATAAAGAGTGATTGAGGAAGTTATATACATCAGCAGTAAAGTAAGGATAATGTTTTTAAATGGATCTTGGAATGATGGGCCAGCAGAGTTGTCTTACCATGGGCAAATACAGTTCTATTTCAGGTGTATAAAAAAAGAGTGCACGTGAGCAGTAGCTTGTTGTAACTGCTAGATATTGGCCAAAGGGAATTGGATAGATCATGGAAAAGGAACTGCAATATTTCAGTGATAGGAGATGAAAATGACTGTGATGATTGTTTTTCCCTTTAAGGGTTGGAGACCAAGGATAGAATTTCCGATGTATGGAATGGTGGTCATATCTGCTGATCCCAGTTTGAATCTAGACTTACTTATAGCTTTTAAACTTGCTACTTTCCAGTCTTTTCTGTTGTATTTTATTTTCTTAGCCAGCCATGGTGCTCATATTTTGGCTTGATTGCTTCGCAAATGCCTTAGAGAAAATGCAGTTTAAGTGCTGGAGGTACAACAACTTAATTTCAATAATATTAAATGTGTAATAGTAAATATTTCTGAGTAGTATGGAAGTGTGAAAAGGTTTTAACTCTTGAACAGGGCCCAGGACTTGAGGTAACAGTAAATGCCTACTTGTTGGGAGGGGTGGTTGGAATTTAATGCAGTTATCTAATATTAGAGTAGGGCAGAGAAATATTTTGTGAGGAGAAAAAACGTTCATAGACATAGCAAACTTTTGATTTAAAAGCTGGGAATGAGTTGAGGGTTATGGGCTGTGGTTAACTTGTGGTTAACTTCCTTCACACTAATAAACATTTTTTAGTTCTAGCATACTAATGAAGGTAAAAACTGACAATCCCTTTGAAATAAGCAACAGTAGCCATTCAGAATCAGAATACGCTCTTCTTTTCTTAACATCTTCACCTTTAACCCTTCTTGCTGACTTCATAGGACAGCAAGATAGAAAAATTCCTTAGTGCTGGAAAAATTGAACTCAAGGGAAATGAAGTGCGTTCAATTTCTCTGGCTGTGCCATGAATGTATAGAATTAATTCAGCATGCATTCCATACAGTGTTCCTTGAAATCTCTTCTTTGCTTGTGCAGCCTTGGGGAGCTTCTCCATGGCATTCTTGCTTTATCCTTCTTTAGCCTTCTGATTTCTACCTCTTTTCCCCACTTCTCCATTTGCTGCAGTCTCAGTGGTCATATGCAAACCTCAGTTTCCTAAGATAGTGAGAACTGTTTTGAAAAGAGCTGTTAATTTAATGTGATTGTACAAGACAATTCTAAGAAGCAATTGCAAGGATAACTGGTCTCAAGTATTCCAAAAAATGACAAAAACCCATGTTCTGTCTGTATTGGACAGCATAACTTTCTAAGTTTTTAAAGGCAACTGAAATGGTGGTATAGCAGAGTATATAAGAATAGGAGTTTTTGTTCACAAGTGATCAACTTGTTTTTGTGACTCTAATAGGAGTGGAAAAGATTATATTTCCTGGGTAAAAATGTAATATTAACCAGTTTTTTTCCAGGACTAAGACTAACCAGGCGCTCTCTTTTGCATTGTCTGTCTTCTACTATGAAGGCATATTTAGGTCGTGTTAGAGCTCATTTAAAATCACTGTCATGTAAACCATCAAGATTGAGTAACAGATACATTCTGTTAATTTGCATTACTTTCAGACATTTTGAGGATTTTTATACGGTAGAAAATTAATCATTCAATTAATTTGTACCCCAAGTTCTATTGATTTACTTCATTGATTTATGGAAAACATTGATTTTTGTTTGGTCCACATCATTAGAAGAGAAACAGTTTAAATTTTTTTTAAATCTCTCCATGCATGACAAAAGAATAACCTGATGATTTTTTCTAAGCTTGTTAAATTCTGTAATTGTTCTTAATAGGTGATTCGTTACCTGTTGGGGATTGAAAAGGAACATGGAGTAGACCTCAGTGATACTGATGTGCTATGGGGAGAAACAGGTATTATTTTACATTTCTTATTTTTCCTAAAAAGAATTGCTAACTCAAGTAAAGCACAGTAGATATCAGCCTTGCAGTGAGTTTCCAAACATACCTCCAAGCCCCGATTCTAAGGGTGAAAGAAATGTATCGGAGTGTTGTAAGAGGGGTATGAATGGGATAGAGACATGAGGGCCTGGTGAAAGGGACCTTTTATGGCAGTAGAACAATAATGGGTGATCACTGAGCAGTCTTAACCTGTGCCAGGGCTGATGGTCCTGATTTGGGGAACCCAAGCTCCTCTCTTTGGTACCCTCCTTTGCTTTGTCCAAAGCGAAGTAAAATTCAAAAGTAATTCTAAAAAGGGAATTTTTAGAAATAAAATTAAGGAAAATATGTAGAAGGAGGTACGGGTAGGGTATAAGGGAAGGTAGTTCACTCTTTACAGATTGGGCCCAATAGATTGATATTGCTTAGATAAAAAAAAAAAAAAAAAAAAAAAAAGTATGCTAATTTATCCATTTGAAATTCAGTGTTTTCTGTCTCCCCGAGTAAGCTGTTCTGTACCATGCTTGCTTAACCTTAACATAGCATTGTGATGTATCTAAAGGTTGCACTCTTATGCAACAGAGTTAAGAAAGGTAGTGATGGTGACCTAAATGCTTGGTAGGTGTCAGAAAGAAGGGACAGGAGGATGGGGAAGGGAGAATAGCAAAGGAAGTGGTGCGTTTTATTGGTACGTATTTTGAAAAGGAGGAAGATCCAAAGTATGAAGACATGATGCAATAATTAGTGCAGGGATGACCATATGCCTGTAGATTTGGATTTGCTGGTATTTCTATAATATTCTCTAGTGCGAGCATTAAGAGTGTATGATAAAGACTCGCATGGAATGGGAGGCAGCAGCAGTAGCCATGGGAGATGTTTCAGGCATATATTGTGAATTTGGTTAGCTGCTGTTTTAGAAATCTACAAAGAGCATAGAGCATTATCAGGAAGCCGCCACAGAGGTTTTCAGATGTTCTCTGAAGATTGATAACTATATATGGGATTTGGAGCACTGCTTATTTGGTAGTAAGACTGATGGAAAGCCCATAATTTGTGGAAGCTATCAGACCTTTCAGTCATATCCTGCAGTGCATTTTGACTCCTCTAAGTATGCATTATCTTCAACATGGAAACAATGTCAGATGAGCCCTTCAGATGATAAAGTCAAAAATACTTTAAAATTCCTTTAAAAACTGTTTATGTCCATTAAAACTACAGATTCTCTTGATTAGAAGAAAGATTATTATAACACTGTTCACTGCTTAAGGGATGCAAATTGTTGTTTTAAATCTTTTCTGATTGTGTTACTCCTTCATATGAAATCTGGGTACGTGTAACACTGCAGTGGTTAACAACAAGAGGATACCAAATTTGCAATACCAAAGAAGCAATCTTCTTTGTCGCTGATTTGAAGGAGTTGGACCAGCAACTAGAGAAGAGGAATGTTCACCTGAAGTTAGCCAATATTATCAAACTTCATTATATAGGATTTCTGTCCTCTGTCTTCACTGAGGATAGTTTTATGAGTATTTAATTTGACTTAAAATAGTTAACATGCATATGACTCACTTATTTGATGTATTTGATTGTCGACTGCCTTATCTTTTAGTGATAGCTTCCTTCTAAAACTTTTTGTTTAAAAATACCAATTCAAATGACATCTTCCTTGAGACTCAAGCTGAGACTCAGTGAAAGTGTGGGTTGTGAGGAGCTGAAGGGAGGAGGCAGTAGCAAATAGTAGTTGAAAGCTGGTAACACATTTCCTAGCGCTTTTTGCAACTCCTTTTCCCACCTTGAAAGGGTCCTCTCATGTTTTTCTCTGTTCCCAGTCTCTCTTCTTGCCTTGTTGTTTTTCCTTTCATCCCCCTTGAGCATGGGCTGGTTTACTTAGTTTTTCTCCTGCTGGAGACCTGTGTGCTTCCCCTTCACATCTCTCCCTACACTTAAAAGTCAGCAAACCGTTTCCTCTGCTTTTCCTTTCCAACCTTTCTGTAATGCCTGGGTATATCTTGTACCCACTGTCTTCCCCAGCCACTATCTCTTCTCCTTTTTTCCTTTCCCTTCA